TTGGGGTCCACAAAACACCCTTTCGCAAACCCCACCTTAAGCAATTCTGGTAAATCCTTTTTTAAATCTAACCCTTTAACTCCCCGCTTTTCCAAAAAACATTGGAGCAATGAAAGTGCCGCCTGTCTCTCCATTACCTAAACAACGCATTACCACGCTACGTGCAGCCCTTTCCATGAGACTTCTTGCGGCTTTGTCGGCGGGTCTCCTTCTTCAGGAGTAGTCCCGGGCGCTGAGTCCAACTATTTCATTGCCGGAAGCGTGGAACTTAACTCTTTCGCCGTCCAAAATCCCCGAACGAGAGGCGTTTGGCGGCAGCAGGTTTGAGCTCTTTTCGCTACCTGGGACGCGGAGCGTAACTCTTTCGCCGTCCAAAATCCCGAAAAAGAGGCTTTCGGTGGCGGCAAGTTGAGCTCTTTTTCGTCCAACTCTTTCGCCTTCTTGCGCTGCACAGCAAGACTGACCGAAGCTACTTCGTCCGACCGCGGCTGCAAGAACCCGACTTGGTTCTCGGGAGTCCGACTTGACTCCAGCCCAGGAATCCGACTTTGATCCCTAGGGACCCCTCTAGTCCCTGTTACACGGGCGCCAAATTTGTCGCAAACGAGGAAAGCTCTGAACACTTAATGTAAGGATCCAGGAACTTCGTTTATTGCAGATTGACAGCAGTTTAATATACACTCTATAATAGGTTCATCCATATTACAGGGATTAAGCTCCTAATTGGTACTTGACTAATAGGTGATATCATCTCAACTGCCTTCCATTGTTTACACAGGTGGCTCGTTAAGTGTTTTGTTTTTCAAATGCCAAGCTCCTGTTTTTCAGCCCAAGTTAGAATACACAAGGACATTGCTACTTTCTCACGGCCCTGCTATCTCAGACTTTCTCATGGGCCTAGTCAGACTGCGTTTTATACTTTAGCAGCTCATCCATGGCCTTAGCCATGTTCATATGCCCTCGTGTTTCTAACCAATCCTCAATAGTCTGGGAAGCACGGTGGGGTTGGATCAAGGGTTGGACTTGATGATTTGAGAGGTCTTTTCCAACGTGGCTGATTCTGTGATTCTCTGATTCCCATTCCTATGGCAGCACATGCTTGAGGCTCTATCCACAGGGTGATAGAGATGTCTGTCCATATATATCTGCAAGGTTAGTCTGTAAATGTGTGGTGTTAGAAAAGCAGGATAAGTTCTGGGACGGTTCTAGAAGGAGAAAGAAGCCCACAGCTCTGGTCCAAGCAGGCAGCCCTCAGCTTGCACATCATGTCCCCTCCCTGCAGGTTCCTGTCCTTGAGCCCAGGCCCTGAGGTGAGCCCAGAGCTGTCCTTGAGGTGAGCCTGAGAATAAGTGCAAGGCAGAGGTGCTTCAGAGGAAGGACAGCCCCGTGGTGGGGAAGAAACAAAGGTGCCCATTCCCGAGAAGGTGCTGTCTCCATCCCCTGTGTGCCAGGTGAGCTGGACTTTGCTGCAGAGCGGCGGGCGCTGATTTGAGCAGCTCCAAGTGCTGAGATGGTGGCACCCAGGAACACAAACTGTGCCTGGCCACGGAGCCTGCAAGGAGGAGCAGAGACAGCCCTGGCAGTGTGGGGGGCCAGGTTGTTCTTGTGCCTTCCCCTGCAGGCCCTGGCTGTCCCTGCTGGGCCCCTGTCCATCCCCATCAAGTCCCTGCACACCTACTCTCCAGAGCTTGACTTACTGCAGACTTTTCAGGGAAATCTGTGCTGGCAGCTGCATCCTGAGCCTGAGGGCAGTTTGTATCCCCAAGTGCTGATCCATCCTGGGGACCCAAGGGATCCTCTGCCATTCCATCCATGCAGCAGGAGTTACTCTCCTGCCCTTGACTCCCTGCAGAGGAACAAGTGCCATCTCCCTGTTTGGGCGCAGCCAGATGCTGCCCCTGGGCCATCAGAAGTGGTGCTGAAGCCTCTTTCAGCCCAGCCCCGGGTGCAGTTTTCTCATCCCCTCAGCGAGTGCCCGCTCCCCCAGCCGGCACTGACCAACCAGGGCGTTTGGCACACTTGGTTTGATGGATTGGAAAAACAGCCTCGGACGGGCAGGGGGCCAGAGAACCTCGAAGAACAGCCCTGGTGAGTTTTAAGTGAGACTACATTAATACAACTTTTGATTAATATACAGCAACTCAATCAAGTGCTCATGAAATGATCTCACTCCCCTCATCCTCCCAATTAAACACCATTTTTTTGGGTTGAATCTTCATAATTTGGAGTATTTTCTGGCTAAATTTTTACTTTTTGCAGTTTGTGGGGGGGGTTCATCTCGCTATTTCTTAGAGGTTTTTTCCTTGTATCTGGGTGGTTTTGGTCTTTCTGGGCTGAATCTTGGTGTTTTGGAGGTTTTTATGGTCACAGGATGCCCAGTGAGTTCTAGAGGTGTACTTGGGCAGGAGGAACCCCCAAGCCAATGCACTCAGCCTTTGTTTCCCCCCCATCAGGATTTGTTTTTTCCAAAGCTTGGGCGGATGGAGGAGGAGGCTGCGAGGAAGAGGAAGATGCCGCGGGCCCCCCAGGCAGGTGAGGAGGAAGTCAGTGGCCCTTTTGGCTGGTGTTGTGCTGGCTCTGGCAGCCGATCATGGCCCCGGCTGCATGACAACCCCGCTGCCGCCGCCGTCCTGCCTAGGCCAGAGTTGGGGGGATGTCCTTGGCCTTCCCTCTGGGCCAGAGGCAAATCCCCTCCCTGTCCTTCTTGCTTCCTGCCCCAGGCCCTGAGCTGAGGACGGAGAGCCCGGAGGACAAATCCCCCCGGCAGAAACTGGTGGGAGAGGCCGTTTTGAAGGGCTCCACGGTGCAGGAAGGCAGCGGGGAGGAAAAGGGCTGGAGATCCCCCCACAGGAGGGGCTCCAAAGCCAGCCCAGGGTGCTCTGAGGAGGAAAGAGCCAGCCTGTGCTGGGAAGGCGGCTGGAGCTTGAGGGGGAGCTGCGACCTGGTGGTCCCTGAGCAGCCTCCCAGCAGGGAGAAGCCCTTCAAGTGCTTGGAATGTGGGAAGAGCTTCAGAAAGAGCACCCAACTCCTCACCCACCAGCACATCCACACTGGGGAGAGGCCCTACCCATGTGGGGAATGTGGGAAGAGCTTCAGGGACAGCTCCACCCTCCGCACCCACCATCGCATCCACACTGGGGAACGGCCCTATTCGTGTGGGGATTGTGGGAAGAGCTTCGGGGACAGCTCCACCCTCCGCACCCACCGTCGCATGCACACTGGTGAACAGCCCTACAAATGTGGGGAATGTGGGAAGAGCTTCAGTGACAGCTCCAGCCTCCGCAAACACCAGCGCATCCACACTGGGGAACGGCCCTACAAGTGCTTGGAATGTGGAAAGAGGTTTCAGCGCAGCTCAAATCTCCTCAGGCATGAGCAGATGCACACGGATGAGAGGCCCTTCCGCTGCACCAACTGCGGGAAGGGCTTCAACCGGCAATCCAACCTCGTCACCCACCAGCGCATCCACACCGGGGAGAGGCCCTACAAGTGTGGGGAGTGTGGGAAGAGCTTCACCAAGAGCTCTAAGTTGACCAAACACCAACGGACCCACCGGAAGGGAACCCCTACCAGTGCCCCAACTGCGGGAAGAGCTTCGACCGCTGCTTCCACCCCAAATGAACCCCCTGATGGTGAGGCAACCCCTGGAGTCCAGTGACTGTCAGTCCATCCCTTTCGACCACAAAGGGCCAGTCCCCTTTCACAGGGGCAGGTTCTTCCAACAGAACCCTTTTTGAGGGGGTGTGTGGAGATTCCTGCCTTGGCTGGGGACCCCCCAAGGTCAGTCCTGGAGGTTGAGAGCAGAGATCTCCCCACCAGCCTTGGTCTCAGGGAGTTCCATCCATCTCTAATTAAGAATTCTTGCTTTTGTGCCAGCTTGAGTAGAATTGCTTCAACAATTGCTTTAGTGTAGAGCACTGTCCTATCTTATCCTGTACTCCTGGTAGTTTTAGTGTTTCTATTGTGCAGTAAATAATTCTGATGAAGATCTTTTGTCTGATCATTTGGAACCCTAAATAATTCATTTCTATCAATAAATCTGATTTTCCATCATTAAAACCTGGGAAACAAAAGTGGTTAAGTCACAGCTCTGTATTCCTCTAAACTGAATGTGTTGGCCTAATCCAAGGCTGAGATTGGATCCAGCAGCCCCCAGCACCCCCCAGGAAGTTGGGAGCTCAGGGGGGCCACCCCCCTTTGCCAACCCCCCTGTGCCCAAAGACCCTTATAGGACCATCAGACTCGCCAGACCACCTCCCCTTTTCCACCCTTCTCCCTGTTCCTCCCACTTTCCCATTGTCCCCTCAATCCCCAATTTCCCCCACGAACAGTTTTGGGGTCCCAATCCCCACTTTTTGCCCCCTCTCCTGTGGGCACTGAAGGAGAAAATGCGGTTGCACACTCAGAGTTCCATTTTGGGACTTTTCCGCCGACACTTTTCCATGTCCCCTTTTATTCCTCTTCTCTCGTGAGCATCAACCGGTGTTTGTCTTTTAGTCCTCTGGAATTCCCAGCATGGCCCCAAAGCAGTGCCCTGATCCCACACATTCCCCTCATCTCATGTGCTGGCTGTGTTCATCCACCAGAGAAAACACAGGCTACCATGCAGAGCGTTCCAAGTGGTTTCCACTTTGGCAAACAGCACTCTCTTGATGGAAAACACCAGTCTAGGCCAAAACACTCCTTTTGGATCCTGATTAACTGAGTGCAGCTGCTGCTGCCTTAACTTGTTCCCACAGAAATTCTCAAAGTTCCTTTGCTTCCAGGAGGCCCCACATGTCACAATGGCCCCTGGATTCCTTGGGGTTCCAAAATTTCTCAGGAATCCTTTGGTTCCATGAGGCCCCACATATCCCAGTGGCCCCTTGGTTCCATGAGGATGCACAGTCTCCAAAGGTTCCTTTAGTTCCATGAGACCCTGCAGTCCCAAAATGCCCTTTGGATTCTTGGAGATTTCCCATTGTCCCAGGGTCCCTTGTGCTTCACAAGTAGCTGCAGTGGGACAGTGGCCCCTTGGTTCCATCAGCTCTGCAGTGTTCCAGGAATCCTTGGGTTCCAGGAGAGCCTGCAGTTTCACAAGGACCACTTGAATCCAGGAGGTTCTGCAGGGTCACAATGGCCCCTGGATTCTGGGAGGTTCAAAAATATCTCAGGGCTCCCTTGGTTCCAGGAGGACACGCATGTCAGCAGGAACTCTTGGTTTCAGGAGGTTTGACAGTGTCCCAGAATTCCTTTAATTTCATGAGGCCCTGGATTGTCCCAATGGACTCCTGATTCCATCAGCCCCTTTAATGTCACACTGGTCCCTTGTTTCCATGAGTTTCTGCAGCGCCCCAGGGTTCCTTTTGTTCCATGGGGACCTGCAGTGTCACAATGGGCCCTAAACTCCAGGAGTTTTCCCAGGGTTCCAGTGCTGCCTTGATCCCATGAGATTGCCCAGTGTCCCAGGGCTCCTTTGGCTCCAGAAGGCCCTGCAGTGTCACAATGGTCCTTGGTTCCATGAGGTTCCACCATGTCCTTGTTGGAACATGCTCTGGGATCTCGACAGGCTGGATCAATAAGGCCAAATGTCAGGGCCTGGCCATGGGTCCCAACAACCCCCTGGAACGCTCCAGGCTGGGGGCAGAGGGGCTGGAGAGCTGCTCAGCATGAAGGGACTTGGGGGTGCTGCTTGACAGCAACTGGATATGAGGCAGAGTGTGCCCAGGGGGGCCAGAAGGCCAAGGGCATCGTGGCCTTTGTGGAGAAGAGTGTGGTCAGCAGGAGCAGAGAACTGATTGTCCCTCTGTGCTGGGCACTGGGGAGGCCCCACCTCGAGTGCTGTGTCCAGTTCTGGCCCCTCAGTGAAAAAAGGCCCTTGAGGGGCTGGATCGTGTCCAGGGAAGGGAACGGAGCTGGGGAAGGCTCTGGAAAACATGTCTGCTGAGGGATGGCTGAGGGAACTGGGCTGGTTGAGTCTGGAGAAGGGGAGGCTCAGGGGGGACCTCATTGCTCTCTACAATGACCTGAAAGGAGGTTTTTAGTGGGGTTGGGGTTGGTCTCTTCTGCAAAGCCTTTAGTGACAGGAAGAGAGGAAATGACCTTAAGTTGCATCAGGCGAGGCGCAGATTAGATATTAAAGAAACCCTTTTCCACTGAGAGAGTGTTCAGGCATTGAAACAAGTAGCCCGGGGAGGTGGTGGAGTCTCTGTAAATGTTCAGGTGTGTGGTGGGTTGACCTTGGCTGGACACCAGGTGCCCACCCAGCCGCTCTATCACTCCCCTTCCCAGCAGGACAGGGGAGAGAGTAAGGTGGAAAAAAAAAAACAACTGGTGGGTTGGGATAAGACAGTTTTTTAAAAGCAAAAAGCAAAGCGATGCTTGTGCACAGAAGCAAAAGACAGCAGGGTTTGTTCTCTGCTTCCCTAGAGCAGCCATGGTCGGCCACTCCTGAGGAGCAGGGCTTGGGTCCGCGGGACGGTTCCTCAGCAGGCAGCCATTAGACAATGAATGCCCCCCTCCTGCTCCGTGCCTCAGCTTTTAGAGCTGAGCTGACCTCCCATGGTCTGCAATGTCCCTTGGGTCAGTTGGGCTCAGCTGGCCTACTTGGGTCCCCTCCCAGGGTCTTGCCCTCAGCTAAGGAGGGAATGTCCCAGTGTTGGTGCTGTGCTCAGCAGTGGCCAAAACACTGGTATGTTCTCAACCCCCTTCCAGCTGCCAATGCCAAGCACAGCCCTGGGAGGGCTGCTGTGGGGAACTGAACTGCAGCTCAGCCAGACCCAACACAAATATCTATGGCACATATTCTATAGAATCCATCCTTAGGTGTTGTATGATAGATCTATGAGATATTACAAATAATAAGTAATAATAAGGTAAGTGTCCTCCTTAGGGACTCCCCTTCCTCCGAAACTACTCGCTGTGTTTGTTCCCTGGGGGTCTCTGCAGCAGCAAGCACAGCACCACACTGACTGCTCTGGGCTGTGCAGGCATTTGTGGTTCTGCCTGTGTCACACACACACCCAGCCTTGGGATGGATCTGGATGTCACTGGATGTGATGTCACAGGGGAGATGTGATGTCACAGGAAGGATGTGATGTCACAAGACAGGTGTGATGCCATAGAAGAGCTGCGATGTCACATGATGGATGTGACATCATAGGGGAAATGTGACACAGGGGAGGTGTGGTGTCACGGGGAGGATGTGATGTCACAGGGGAGGACGTGATGTCACAGGGACTATGATATCACAGGTGAGGTGTGATGTCATGGGGAGATGTGATGTCACGGGAAGGATGTGATGTCATAACAGGAGCTGTGATGTCACTGGAATAATGTGATGTCACAGGGGAGCTGTGATGTCATGGGGAGCTGTGATGTCACATGATGGATGTGATGTCATGGGTAGCTGTGATGTCACATTATGGATGTGACATAGGGGAAATGTGACATAGGGGGAAGTGTGGTGTCACGGGGAGGATGTGATGTCAAAGGGTAGCTGTGATGTCATAGCGGAGATGTGATGTCGCAGGAGAGATGTGATGTCATATGACGGATGTGATGTCATAGAGGAGATGTGATGTAACAAGAAGGATGTGATGTCATAGTGGAAGATGTGATATCACAGGAAGGATGTGATGTCATGGGGAGGAGGTGAGGACACAGGGGACCTGCGATGTTATTGGGAGGACATGAAGTTACAGGGATTATATGATATCAGAGTGGAGATGTGATGTCATATGGTGGATGTGAGGTCAGCTGTGATGCCACAGGGGAAGTGTGATGTCATATGGGAGGATGTGATGTCACAGGGGAGCTGTGATGTCACGGGATGATGTGATGTCACAGGAATGATATGTGACATAGGAGACATGTGATGTCATATGATGGATGTGATATCATAGGGGAGGTGTGATGTCACAGGAAGGATGTGATGTCACGGGGAGCATGTGATGTCATAGAAGAGTGACACATTCCCCCCCCCAACCTTGCTCCAGCTTCAGCCGTGGAATTTGTCTTTGTTTCCCTTGGGTTCAAGGTCAGGCTGTTTTATTTCCATGGATGTCTAGAGATGAGTTCAGGGTAGCTCAGACCTTTTGGGGAGGAAGGACTTGTTTACTCTTGAGCATTTGAACTCAGCCTTTGTTCCTGGTTTCTTCCCACTCTTTCAGAGCAGTTCATTTCCCAGGGTGAAAGCTCTGATTCCCCAGCACAGTCAGGTTCTCCTGAGCTCAGGATGTTTCACTGGTCTCATTTTTCCCCAGTATTAATTGTGTTCCAAAATCTTACTTCCTAGGTCAGTGAAATGTTAGAAGAGAGAGAATCTCACCTTGATCTTGGAGAGAACACTTATAGACTTCTTTATTCTATTGAATTCTTCCCTTCTAGTTCTGGATGACAGGACACCCATGTGGAAAGTCCCTTTTCTGGTTTTCAGGACTTAAAATCGATGCTTTTCTGATGTCGCTATTTATTGGAGTGTTATTTATTCAACTGTGAGGGTTGAATTGAGTGTTCCTTGGACCTTTAAAAAGTGCAACCCCTTTAAT